ATTTGGTGAAAATTCTGGCTGACCGCAGTTGTTCTAATGCAGAGGAGTCCCAACGTTTCTTGGTTATGGAATTCAATGCCCAGTAATCTATGCAGGGACGGAGGCCCCTATCTTTCTTCTTCACAAAGAAGAACCCGGAAGAAATGGGGGTGGTAGAAGGACGAATAATACCTTGGTGCAGGCGCAGGGCCTCCTGGATATAACTCTGCATGGCCTCCTCCTCGGGACGTGCAAGAGGGTAAAGATGTCCTTTGGGAAGGACTGACTCCTCTGCCAGCTCGATGGAACAATCAGACCGGCGATGGGGAGGGAGCCCAAATGCCTGGGCTTTGCTGAAGATGTCTCGGAAGTCCTGATATTGAGGAGGTATGACAGACACATCGTCAGGTTGCGGACTTTCTACTCTGCACGGCATAATCAAACACTTTGAGATACATTCCTCAGACTTGGACTGAATCTCTCCTACCTTCCAGTTTATCAGGGGGTTATGTAGTCATAGCCAAGGCTGTCCAAGTATGACTTGGTCACACACCGAGGGTATCACCAGAAAGCATAAGTCCTACCTGCATCCGCAGGGGCATGGTTTGATGGGTTACCTGACTAGAGGATAAGGGAGAACCATCAACTCCTCACACCGTAAGCGGGGTCGGGAGAGGCTCCAGGGGTGCTATCAGGTGCTTGGTGGCATAATTGATGTCTATAAAGTTGCCGGCGGCCCCTGAATCCAGGAGGGCATGTCCTGTGTCCTGTACATTCTCCCAACAAAAGGAAACAGGGACAACCTTCTGATTACAGGTAATCATGGGCAGAAAAAAAACCCTTAGTTGTATTGACACCGGGGAAGTCCGGGCTGGATGGGTCGGGCAGGTTTGTAGAACAAGCCCCGCCTCTCCACAGTATAGACAGAGCCATTGCTGGAGATGGCGGAGGTGCTCAGATTGCGACAGCAGGGTGTGCCCGATCTGCATCAGTTCGGGTTCAGTCGGTCGGGGAGACGGAGGAGGGCGTTGCGTGTTGGATCTCTGAGCAGGCCGGGGCCTTGCCCGAACGATATTATCTAGTGTGATTCATAAAACACATGGTGAGCACACACACACACACTCCGTCACACTATGTACAACAATGAACATTCAACACTATACGTGACATAACAACACAGCACATTTACAACACAACACAAGCAGCTTCAGAGAACTATTTTCTGGGCTGGTATCAGTCGAACCTGCTGTGCTGCTTGCCCGCTGTTAATTTGTAAGTAGGGGCTCTCCATTGCATGCAAGGAATCCCTGTTCACACAGGTAAAAGAAACGGGAAACTTCTCCAACACAAAGTGTGCAACCTAATTTTTTTACCTACACTATACCACATAATCAGTTGTCCAAATCAGAGAGTCCATGTCGAGGGTCCCCCACCAGTAGCCAACACACTGCACTGGTGTGGAGCAGTATGCTTTTTGGTGTCTGATTTTAAATCTGGCCATTTTCATTTATTAATTTTTCTGTCATTGTCTGGTGTAACGGGGCTTGCCTGTTCCATGCACAAATACACAGGTGCAGGCTGATACTTTTGTTTATTGGTTTGGCACTCAAACTCTGGGAGGGTCTACAGACAGAGTAGTTTATTGGTGGTAGCATATTTTTGGTGGCCAGCTGGAATATGGGTTAAGATTGAGAACATGGGTGTCAAGGATCCGGGCGGCTCGGGCATGAGAACGAGAAAGTGGCATGGTGCAGGCACAGAAAGGATGGACGACCCACTTGCTGCTCAATGAACAAAAACGGGGTTTATTTAACTGAACTAAAAAAAACACAAGGAAGGACTAGCAAAAACAAAGGACCACGAGGGGTCAAAAACTAAAGGGGATTAAACAAGACTAAATAACAAACACTGAACACTGAAAATATCAAAACCATCAAACATCGCAAACAACAACACACACACAATGAACCACTGGGGAACTGAACAGAAGCAGGAACTAAAATACTAAGGGTTAACGAGACTAACACAGGAGAGGTGAGGCTAATTAAGAAAGACCAGGGAAACGGGGTACAAGTGAAACTAATACTCTCAAAGGAACTAAAACAGGGAAACTAAGAACTAACCAAGGAAACATAGACCAACACTAGGGAATTACAAACAGGTAAAGACACAAGCAGGGGCACAAGGAACAAAACCAAATACAAAATCACCAGATACAATAACTAGAAACACTAAGGAGCAACATACAAAAACAGGAGGCAGGATTCAAACACAGGACAGAAGGATAAACAGACAACCACATGCTCAACACATTGAGCCACATGACCAGACAGGTAACAGGGGAGAACAAAGACTAACATGAAGGACGGGATGACCAGCAACACCTGCTGGTCAAACAGGGAAGGGACACGGTAGGACCACAGCAGGGGCTGACCCTGACAATGGGTATATTTTGAGGTTTTAACTTCTCTCTGGGGAGCAGGAGGGCAGGGTCATTAGCTAAAGGACCCAAGCTCAGGTGGCTACTGGGTAATGTACATTGGGAGGCCTGCTCAGTTGTAATGGGATTGCCCATATGACATTTTGACGGGGACGGGGGGGGGGTTGAATTGAGATCAAGGTATGTATTAGTAAGGGGATTATTTATTGTGAATTTATTATAATTGAGATTTATAAAATGTAATTGGTTAATTCTAGAATATATTTATGGGGATATAGTGGATGTTTTTGAATAGTTGTGTGGTATTTGTATCATGGATGTGCCTATTGGTAATCATATGGTTTGATCCGGCAGGATATAAGGAAGCTACACCAGGTTACCAGGGAGAGACAGGAATCAGAGGCACAGGGTAGGGTGCTGGCCTAGTCCTGATTAAGGACCGAATCCTAGTAATTGGGCACGGGAGAATTTTGTAATAGTTAAGTTACTTTGGTTTTTCTTTTTTCTTCTTTTTTTGCTTTAATTATATTTGGTTGTTTGGGACCACTCTGCACTTGGAAGGGACAATAAAGTATATGCATCCGATCCTGTTTGCAAGGCCTCAAGTTTGTTTATTGGCCCACGGGCTGGTAACCATGACAGCCAGCTTATTGACTTGATGGTGTTAACCCCCTGGGGTTGAGTGCATCGTCAACGATGCAGCGTATTTTTCGCGTCTATTTCAGTTTATATCTGAAATCTTTATGTAGAATCATGAAAAGAACGCTGACTAAATCCGTAATCTGTCTTCTTTTCAAAACGTCCATTGTATTAAAGTTTTTTTAATTAGGTTAAATCGGCAAAAAGTAAACGATGTCATCTTACTTTGTTTTACCTGCATCGGGGGCGTGTAGTGCCGCCCAAAGATCGCTATTCACATTATAAATAGCCGCATTAGCACATATTCAAATCGCATTCGCATGGTCATTTGATGAACAGCACAAAGGTGAAATGCTATCTAGATACATCCCCGTTAGCGGCAAAAGGGTGTCCTGCACAGCGACGTACGGAATGCAGTAAAGGTTCTGGAAGCCAGGCGTTAGCGCAAACACAGTGTTTAATGAACATAGCAACACAAGGAGCAAGCAACATTAGGGCTGACATAACAATGACCGGACTGGGGAAACAAACGGAAACGCGGACTACTGTAAATACAATGGACTAATTCACAACGATCGGGAACAGCTGGTAAACATGGGTAGTAAATAGTGACATGAGTTAGGTTTTTCTTATTTATTTTTCCAACTGAATGTTGCAACTACACCATTTAGTCATCTTCGTGTAGCCAAGATTTTGGTGATCAGGGGTCCGTTCTTCGTACGTCGGGTAGCTGGATCTGATTATTGTGGATTTGTCCTGATCTTGGATTGTTTCGTTCTTCGATGTGCATCTCAGACTTGCTGTCATACTGTAGCAACAGGTCCGTAAGCTTAAACCTGTTCGGGAGCAGGTTTATTGAGAAGGGTCCAGCTGCAGACGCCTGTAGAGTGGAGCTCCACCGGAAATACGTCATCTCCACAGGAAATACGTGATTTTAAGGGGCGTAAAGTGGATCTCTTTACGGACGTAAAGTGGAGCTCCACAGGAAACACGTGACCAAACTGTGTGTTACAGCGGAATTTCAGTTGTAAAATTCTCAAAAAGTATGTTTTTGTTCATTTATACGCTAGAGAAATTATATATATATATATATATATATATATATATATCTGGTCTGATCTAGTTTGTGGAATATATATATTGGTCATAAGATGAGCAGTTATAAACATACCATACATACGCAATTGCTATTACTGTATGTTACTTTCCATACACATTACTAATATCTATATTGGTCTTGCCTTAACTGTTATGTTATAAATATATACTATATACGATTGCTGAAACAGCGCAAATGCGTACGTATTTTATGTGCATTTGCGCTGATATGACAAGAAATTATTATGCATTTTAACCTGTATATGCTAATTCGTACTTCATTTGCGGTATATAGGTTGAAATGCATGGTATTTTCTTGTCATATCAGCGCAAATGCACATAAAATATGTACACATTTACACTGTCACAGCAATCGATTGCCGCACGTATCGCTTTTAAAGGTGAATGCGTACTTGCGTACCAGTTATCAACATGTAACAATTATATTCAATCAACTGCTAAATTTATTTAGACAGCAACAACAAAGAGAATGAAATAAATAAAAAAATCAATCAACACACTCATGTGCCAGTAATTTAATCTTTCTCATAACAGACAGCATTAACCCGGAGGCCCCGCTGGTCAACACAGGCCTGTAAAAATAATTCCATGTCCTCTTGGATCTGAAAACCAAAGAGGAATGTCTCCTTCCATCTTGTCTCTTTTTGCTAACAGAGTGGTAGTTTCCGGTAGAGGTCACGAGTTTCCTGTGGAGCTCCACCTTACGTCCGTATAGATGAGATCCACTTTACGCCCCTTAAAATCACGTATTTCCTGTGGAGGTGACGTATTTCCGGTGGAGCTCCACTCTACAGGCGTCTGCAGCTGGACACTCTTGGGTTTATATCATGTAAACAGGATTTAGGCTGCGCTCCTGGCGGGTTATGATTGGTTGAAATGTTGAGGTCACATCTGATTGGTTAAAGAGCACGACTGACGCGGACTGACTCAAGTGGGAGAAGTATCTTGCATATATATATGGATGGATGTATTTAAACATACATACAGTATATGTATACATGTGTGTGTGGCTGTTGTCATCATTTGTGTGTTAATCGCCGTGTGTGTCTAATAATATGTCACATTCTATCCCCCAATTGCATCTATATAAGTGGAGGTAATTTTCTCAAATCTGTCGCAGCCATGTCTTGTCCGTTTATGAGAGAGCAACCGGTTACCGAAGGTGCGAGGATTATACGCAGAGTTTTTCAAAGTCCTCGTGTATTGCGTGATAGACAGGATCCTTTGGCGCAGCATGACAATATACTTCTTGAGAGATACCGCTTTTCTCATGAGGGTATCATTTATATAATTTTTTTGTTAAACCCCCATGTGAAATGTTCAACTCACCGGAGTCGAGCGTTAACAACCGCACAAACTGTGTGTATTGCCCTGAGGTTCTTTGCGAGTGGCACTTTCCTTTACACCGTTGGAGACGCGGAGAACGTGGCGAAAAGTGTTGTCTGCCGTGCCATTCGCAAAGTTTACTTGGCACTCAAACAGTTTTTGAGGGTATTTGTGTTATTTCCAAGCCACTTAAGACCACAGGCTGTAAAACAGAAGTTTTTTGCCATTGCAGGTACGGTATAGATATTGTTGATGAAAATAATGCAATTATGATCATTCCAATAAGTATGAAGTGTGTCCCCAGGCTTCCCTAATGTGATTGGTGCCATAGACTGCACCCACATTCCTATCAAGGCCCCATCAGGCCCCAATGAAGGGGATTTTGTGAATCGAAAGGGTGTTCACAGTGTTAATGTGCAGGTAAGTTAATATAAGAACTATTTTAACGTAATGGAATGAAAAAGCATGCATTTGACTGACTCAGTATGCATTTGACTGATTTCTAAGATGGTGTGTGATTCTTTGTGCCACATTACGAATGTGGAAGCCAAATGGCCTGGTTCAGTGCACGACTCCAGAATTTTCAGAGAGTCACATTTGTTCCAAAGATTTGAACATGGTAAGGGAAATAGAAAATGTGAAGCTCAATGTTTTACTTACACTAACAGTAAACTGGGCCTAACATAACTGCCTTTTCCCATAAAACAGGTGATTACGATGGCGTTCTTATTGGAGACAGGGGTTATGCCTGCAGGCAGTATTTCATGACTCCATTCCCAGACCCAGACCCAGGTCCACAAGCCCGATACAATGCAGCTCTAACTAGGACAAGGGCACGCATTGAAATGACCTTTGGGCAACTGAAGGGAAGATTTCAGTGTCTGAAAAGTCTGAGGGTTGCACCTGACAGGGCCT